TTATATATAAATAAAGAAGCTCAGCATTTATTGCCGCTGACTGGAGCCTTTTACATGCTTTTTACAAATCTGACATAACTATGTTCTCAGCGAAGCTACTTAGCAAATAGTTACTTGTAGGCTGATCGCTGTAAGCTATAACCATCTGAACGAGTATGTGCCACTCAAATTGGGTCACTCCCACCACTCATTAATAACGCGCTAACAATGAAGAGGGGGAACTGTTGGCCTGTCAACGAATGGCAGTGAAGCTATGGCCACGAGCTGAAGGCGCCGATTACGTACAGTGAGAGAACACTAGAGAATGGAAATCACTATGGCTGCTGCGACAACACTCCGACGTGATGGAATGCCCGTACGCCAACGAAGACGTAGCCTTATGTCTATCACAGGTGCGAACGCTTGGCTACAGCGCTAGTTTCTGTCTCGTGAGCCCGGAAAACCGTCTCGTGTATGACTGTCTGTGGATTAACACAAGTATATACGACGGCAATCAACGTCAAATCAACCTAGCCTCACTTAGCTAAAGTCTAGCAATAACCTTGAAGTAACCTAGAGCCTGCATCACCCAGCTAAAGCCTAAAGATAACCAGATTAGTCTTTAAAGTTTTCTAATTTCGCTGTTTAAAGCATTTTAAGGCATAGTACTCGGTTCGCTGGTTGTTTATTATTTCTTTTTTTAAACCACATCTCCCCGAAATCAAGAAGGCATGCCCCTGAATATGACCTGTAACTTCACGGTGAGCACTTTAAGCTTTAATACACCGTAATGATTAACACGTTTCATTCGATCTGCTCAAGAAAGCGTATGTGGTATTTTCATACTGGTGGCCAAAATTAATATAGTCATACTCAACCTTCTGACTCCTCGAAATTTTCTAGAGCTTTCCTACTCTTTGTTTGTTTGTTTGTGTGGGCAATAGGGTTTTTTTAATATATATCCGACTCGTCCCCGTTAAGACCACAACAGCGCAGCTTTTTCCAACTAGATAATTTTTTTTTGTTTCGTTCATTGCTTTTTCATCATTCATAACAGCGAGAAGAACACTGCTTGCCGCATTACGAAACTCGGCCTTTTGTTGTGTCACAAAATCTTCCAAAAACACAAACAACCAATTCCTCTCACTATGTAAAACGGGACAACCTACATCAGCACTCAAGCTCATACTACGGCCACTGCGACATTAACGAACATCAGTGCTGTCGACCTCAAAAGGCTTCGTCTCTTTTGATGACGTTAGCAGGGCGACATAGACGTCGCTAGAACTCTCGTCGGGTGTTACTGCCTTTTCAGAATATTATATTTTTCGTTTTCCCTTTTATGAGACATTAGGTCATTCGACTATCATGTCTCCGCACCGAGGTTCAGAACCATAACCGTCTGAAGTCTAGGTTCATTTGATTAACTTGCCTAACGTAAAGATATTTCGTTTTTCCCTTTCTGCCGGGAGGTCAAACTGAATCTATCAAGAGACACAGGAGGCGTGTTTAACTATTTACGAGCGTCAGAAAGTTCATCTATTGGGGGTGCTTGTTATCATCAAAAAGCTCTCTGGGCAGCGGTCTTGCGCTCTGGACACTCTGTAAACGACTCAACTAGACTGACAGGCGTGTCTTTGAATCATGGGGCAGACAAGTTTATAACGAGGGGCATTATTTCAGCATGCACCTAGAACGGTACCTTGGAACTCCTGGTCAGCGAAAAGGTCACCTTTATTTTGTCCTTGCATAATGATGCCGCTTCATTTAAGAAAAGCTCGAGCATAAAAGCGTTCTATAAGAAACGCGACTATTTGCTTAGACAACTACTTTTAGAGAAATGTCCTGTCCAGCTGCGACAAGTCCACAACGTATTTGTCCATTTTTTTCTGACTATGTCCCATTTAGTTAAATCAAAAAACGAATGCTAACTTGGGAAGATCAGTCGTATTCAAAGCCGGCACATCCTCTGATTTCAGAGACCACACTTGTCTTCTTCGATAAAGCGTGGAAACTAGTGGTGCCGTTCATTGATTACATGATATCACTAAGAATTTTATTTGCTGTAGTACATAGAGCGAAATGTGCTTTTCAATGGACACTGCATTACTCGGAAAACAGGAAGACGCTTGAGCTTCGTCGCCTTCAAGAGCAGAACTCGGTAGGGTTATGAAACTCCGTACACATCGTCTTCACAACGCTAGTCTATAGCTTCATTTGTAGGACGACACCTCAACCATAGCGCAATGAAGGGAGTATCCGTACAAGTAACGTAGGGTCTTCCAAGTTTTTCTTGAATGCCTAATGCAAGTACAGTTGAGAACATCTGGATCTCGTAATGTTTTCTTCTTTTCCTTTCTGAGTTATTTTGTGTTCTACGTTTGCACTAAAGAATATGTTCCACGTCATAAACCACCAGCTTGCCCAGCAATAAGTTATACTGAAGTACAGTTGCAAAATTATTTCCTCACCACAAGTCTTCCCATTGCCAAAAGCCAAAGTACCCACCACACGTCCATTTTTTCTCCACAACCATTGACAACGACGCCGACACCCGAAGTTCTGCAAAAACAGGTTTCTTATGCTGTCCCCTGTCCCTTGAGCATAAGCATATTTCACAAATGACCACGTGACATGCTTTAATCAACATGCTCTTCTTTTCTGCTCTACGACCATCCCACATGCTACCTCCTCTGTCGTTTCTTTCATTCCGTTATTATAGTAACTCCTGCATGCACGCTATCTGTGCTACCACACTAGCATGCTATACGGGGGAACAATTTGTCTTACAGCGTGTCTCCCAGATGATGTCACGCACTGCAAAGCCAAGATGACTAGGTTATATTACTTGGCTGCACATTCACTCAGATCAGTGGCAGTGGATCAGTGGATCAGTGGCAGTGGTGTGTGTGTGTGTGTGTGTGTGTGTGTGTGTGTGTGTGTGTGTGTGTGTGTGTGTGTGTGTGTGTGTGTGTGTGTGTGTGTGTGTGTGTGTGTGTGTGTGTGTGTGTGTGTGTGTGTGTGTGTGTGTGTGTTCGCGTGCGTGCGCACGTAACTTCAACCACGTGTTCATCGTGTTGCTTGTGGCTCCGAGGCATTCATTCAATTCATTCCGACGAAACGCTCTCATTGTTACGCGTCAAGTTATTCACGGGAAATCTCCTGAATCTCATTGAAACGCAGCAAGTGAAGAATAGTGCACTCACAAATAAGAAGAAACAAGTACATAAATACCTGACGCTCGGGACAAAAAGAGCAACTGGTGAATTCCCGAATAAGTAATCAATGGAAAAAATGACTGGTGGCTGTGAAGTGCTGGAAGAGAGGGTGAAACAGGCGCTCGTGTTCATGTCATCGTTTCAAGTGTCGGCAAAGCCTTCCGGCAGGGGGCGCGGAAGCAATTAATCACATGCGCCTCAGGCGTACCTTTGCTCGCGAGCAGTGCGACGTTACGTGCCGCCGACAAAAGGCGAAGCCGGACACCGCTCTGGTTCAAGCGTTATCTTCGGGCTCGTGCGAGGATAACCGAGACATCAACGAGGATTCGCCAGATAGAAGCTACGTCATTTTATGTATGCCTATGTAGATATTTGAAAGAAAAAAACCTTTTGAAATTCATTAGGATGCAAACACGAAGCACGCATGGATGACGTGAATAACTCCAGACCAAACAAATGTGCCAATGTTGCGATCTGATGACAATAATAGAAAGAAAAAGAAACATGAAACACGTGTTGTCGTTGTTTCTGCTGTTGTTGTTTTTGTTTTTATCATTGTGGCCATCGTCGTCATTCTTGTTTTCATCATTTTGCGGTTGTTGTTGTTGTTGTTGTTCTTGTTCTTGTTCGTCGTCATCGTCCTCATTCTTCCATGTTAAAAACCAGCAATAATTTTCATAGCTATGGAGAATTTTTTTACAGAAGTGGGTGCACTTATGGTGATAATCCCAACAAAGAATTCCTGTGATTGTACCTAATGAGCTGTTTTGCACAGAATCGCCTTGGTCGATGCTCGGCAATTGATACTTCGTGGCTATCCGAAGAATCACATGAATTTCCATGCCTGGAAACGTTCCAGTTTTCTATAGACTTTTCTTAGCGTCGGAGTTGCTTATTTGTTCTTGGAACTCGGTTCATCGTCCCTTCGTTCCGCTCGAATTGCTTATAATAAGGAGGATTGATGCATGGCCCCAAGCACGCTGACGCTCTTTGAAGTCGCTGAAACGACACGACGGAGCGCCCTCTAACGTAGGTATCGTACGTTTGAGACACCTTTACTTCTCGGCATGTTGTTTGATATCACGCTAAGAAGTATCAATGCAAATCACGAAACCGAAGCAGGCCGAAGGCCAATAATGAAGTGGAGCGCTTTTGGTCCCCAGCGTCAGATCATGAATAGTAGTTTTTCGGTATAGTTCTCCAGAGAAACGTATTTAACAGTTGTGTCTTGCCCGTACTTTCCTACCTGACGTAAACCTTAAAGACTCAAATAAAATTAAATATGACGTAACGAATCATGTGGAAGAAATTGAAAGTTGCAACCTTAAGGAATCAGAAGACTGCCGAGAGGATTTTTATCGCGACCAAGAGACGGCAAGTGCGTGAAACGGAGGCAGAATATTAAGGAACCAAATGAGATCTAGAATATTGTGTGAATAACGTGAGTGAATTAAGTGCAGAAAGCTATTCATTGGAAAGCAATGGGAGAGGCATCTGTCCTGGAGTAAGCGTAGTCAGGCTAATAATGACGATAAGCTACGATACACTTGAATGAGACTGGAAAGATGACCGAAATATCGACCTCAACGATGGGAAACAAACGTCATCTCCTATTATTCACCTTATTTAGGACTTGTAGTCACGACTGCCTATCTCTTTTCGGCGCATTTACATTCGTACAGCAAATCATAATTCACGACATTAGACAACTCGTTCGACTAGATAAAGGTATCCAGGAGCACTGCAGGCTGAGCCTCCAGTGAATTGCGTTGCTGACAGCTCGTCTGCGGTTTTCTCTCGCAGGGTCCACACAAGCGGCATTGAGTTAGCTGATGAGCAAAAGGAACCAGAGATCCTGGCATGGCGAAAATGTATTCACGGTGAGCAACCAAAGGTGGCGAATTGCTATACTTCAAAGGCAACGTAGCAATGAATTCATAATCAGAGAACCACTGGCAAGCATCGAAGAGCACTGTCGACGCGGTCTTAAAACACGCATCGGTGGCTTCGCAACACGTTCAGTGGCTGTGATGGTTTATCGTTAAACGCAATCAAATATACTCTATTCAGATGTGCTTTCTTTCAAAGTCGAATTCAAAGAAACGGGTTCGATCTCCAGCTCTGCGATCGCGTTTTCATACAGGTGAGAGGTTTCAAGCCCGTGCACATTCATTTTGGTATACGTTAAAGAACCTCAGGTAGTAGAAATTTCATTGCCTGTCTCACAATTATTCCATAATTCTCGCCCGTAAAACTAAAGAAATTACGTGCTTTCAATTTTCAGATCTCTATTCGAAAACTCTTTTAGCTAAGTTTATTTGAAACTTGCTTCCCTGCTGTAAGCCCGATTCTGCGGAGAAATCACGTTTTGAAATCCCGCTTGGGTGCTTTTAAATGTGTTTATATGTAAGTCGTTCTTGAGAAATGCGTGCAGTAAACCAAAATGACAATTGTTAATTTATTGGATAAAGTAACAAAAGACACTCACTCAGGCTGTTGTTGGGTCTAGTTGATAATATTAACGGAGCCGTGGTGACGACGTCGCCTAGTCTAGGACCGAGTTTCTCTCCAAGGAATTGGTGATGCGTGTGATGTGGTTAATAATGAACTTGCGTACAGCATTTTGTGTGACACAGCTGTCATGATAGCGCAGCGGCTAAGGTGAAGTGCAGGTAAGCTTGAGTAAGTGGATTCGACTCTCTGCGATGGCCGGAGAGTTTCCCTAAAAGCGAAATGCAAAAGCACGCATGTGCTTATGTTTAGGTCCACAATGTTAGACAACCCCAAGAGGTCAGAATTAATCAATAGTCTTCCATACAGCCTTGTCTACTAATTAAATTGTAGTTTTGGATCGTGGATCTCCAGAGTGTTCCATCCTTCGCTTAATGTCGTTCCATCCTATGAAGTTTTCTAACTTAAGGAGAACAACAATACCGGTATATGACGCCAACTGATATTTCCAAAATCAAATTTACGCAGCGTCTCGGGAACAATCGTGTCATACTAGAGAGAGACAGAAAGATAAATGTCAAGTGAAAGCTAGGGATTATAAGCTGAAGAAAATATTTGATTTGCTACCCAGCCCATGAGAAGGGGTAAGCGGGAATGATCATGAAAATGAGGAAAAAAGCGAGGCAATCGAATAGGAAGCTATTGCAAAAGTCTTAATTTTGCCCTGAGGGCAAAGCAATGAATGTGTTAGCAAGACATTGGAGTGGCACATGATAAACGATATGAAGTTCGATGCTTGCAGCGCACTACCGGAGCACAAAAGAAGGACGCTAAAAGAAAAAAAAACACTGGTATATACAGGACAAACCTGAACTAAGTGTCACAGTTATGCCTTTGTGTTTCGGCAACGCGCTGCAATTGTCGACAATGAAGAACTCGGCTTTATTCGATATTTTTTTCTCTTTTAAACTGTGGCACGTGCAGTGACCCTTTTGCCATACGGTGGCAAAATGGTGCTAGGTGTTCTTGTGTTTTTATTATGATTATTTTTCCACTTCATGAGTGAGTACGGAAAGGGGCCAGAATTTAGGGCGCGTCTTAAGGAAAGTCTTAAAGTTCAAAAAAGATGCAAGAGCGTTGCATGCTAAAAAACACGCTCAAGCATCTGCGATATCTGCTTACCGCCAGCAGTAAATGGTGTCCATAAAACATTTGGCAGATCCCACGCGAATAGGGAATCGACGTAATGTGATGTATGAGGAGGGATAGTGACCATGTCTCGGGAACAATTTGTTTATTTAGCGATAAGTTACGAAATGACGCTAATTATATGTACAAATGTTTCACGCAGAGATATATGTTGAAAAATTGCAGATGTTTGTATAACCAGTTGATTGCACCTACGCAACGATACCAACAGGAACATGAATACTAGCAAGAATAGAAGCGATAAGTTGATATGAAGCGCTGGTGTTGTCGCGAATGATAGCTCTGGACACAACAACGTAAATCAACGTCAGCGCATGGCACCTAACTGCATTTGACATAAACCCTACGTTACGGCTGCGTCTCAGCAGTACATATGTCATGTTTATAAAATTGGACAGCCAGTACAACCACAACTGACGTTTCACGAATGTTAGGGTTTATTTGAAAAGTTGTTCCGATACCTGGCGTGCCTGTGTGGTAGAATCTTTTTGCCACGCAGAATGCTTGAATTCAATTTTTCCTGAGACCCCGACATTTCTTCTTGGCATTCATTGGGTCAACGCTGCCATTGTCAGGTTTTTCTTAACGCTCATGTGTTAAGAAAAACCTGACAATGTGTGTACGATTTGTGTGTGTACAACTATTTATGTGTGTACTCGACGTTCCTTAGTAGGTACTGTGTATCAATCTGCTGTGGCCTTTCTTCTGTCGCAATTTTTTTCTTGTAATTTCTCTCTCTCTCTTTGCAACATTTCTTTTTAACATCTTTTATTCCCCTCACCCCTTTCCCCAGCACAGGGTAGCCAGCCGGTCTAAGAACTGACTAACCTCCCTATTTTTCCGCTTAAAGTTTCTTCCTTCTCCTCTGCTGTGGCACATACCCGCGTACCAGTGGCACATATCCGCCCACATGTATATGCCGCTGTCTGCCGAGAAGGGTTTGAAGACGTACGTGACAAAATTGTGCCATTATTCGTGTCTTGACCAGCGCGTCATATACACCAAAGCATCTTACCCTCCCATATGGTAATTTTGATTCACGCCAAGTTAAGGGTGGGATCACGAGAGTGCACCCCACGTAAGCGGCTAGACAGACAGACAGACAGACACAGAGACAGACACAGAGACAGACAGACGGATTGATTGATTGATTGATTGATTGATTGATTGATTGATTGATTGATTGATTGATTGAGAGATTGATTGATTGAGAGATAGATAGATAGACAGACAGACAGACAGACAGACAGACAGACAGACGGATATATAGATAGATAGATAGATAGATAGATAGATAGATAGATAGATGGGTAGATAGATAGATGGGTAGATGGGTAGATGGGTAGATGGGTAGATAGATAGATAGATAGATAGATAGATAGATAGATAGATAGATAGATAGATAGATGGGTGGGTAGATAGATAGATAGATAGATAGATAGATAGATAGATAGATAGATAGATAGATAGATAGATAGATAGATAGATAGATAGATAGATAGATAGATAGATGGGTGGGTAGATGGGTAGGTAGGTAGGTAGGTAGGTAGGTAGGTAGATAGATAGATAGATAGATAGATAGATAGATAGATAGATAGATAGATAGGTAGATAGATAGGTAGATAGATAGGTAGGTAGATAGGTAGGTAGGTAGATAGGTAGGTAGGTAGATAGGTAGATAGATAGGTAGATAGATAGATAGATAGGTAGATAGGTAGGTAGATAGGTAGGTAGATAGGTAGGTAGATAGGTAGGTAGATAGATAGATAGATAGATAGGTAGATAGATAGATAGATAGGTAGATAGATAGGTAGATAGATAGATAGATAGATAGATAGATAGATAGATAGATAGATAGGTAGATAGATAGATAGATAGATAGATAGATAGATAGATAGATAGATAGATAGATTAGGTAGGGTAGGTAGGTAGGTAGGTAGGTAGGTAGGTAGGTAGGTAGGTAGGTAGGTAGGTAGGTAAGTAGGTAGGTAGGTAGGTAGGTAGGTAGGTAGATAGATAGATAGATAGATAGATAGATAGATAGATAGATAGATAGATAGATAGATAGAATAGACAGATAGCTAGATAGGTAGGTAGATAGGTAGGTAGGTAGGTAGGTAGGTAGGTAGGTAGGTAGGTAGGTAGGTAGGTAGGTAGGTAGGTAGGTAGGTAGGTAGGTAGGTAGGTAGATAGGTAGGTAGATAGGTAGATAGGTAGGTAGATAGGTAGGTAGGTAGATAGGTAGGTAGGTAGATAGGTAGGTAGGTAGGTAGATAGGTAGGTAGGTAGATAGGTAGGTAGGTAGGTAGATAGGTAGGTAGATAGGTAGATAGGTAGATAGCAAAAGTGCTCGCAGTACGCAAAAAAATGCTTCGCATTTAGTAACTCACCATTACGCCGGCACATGCATGCAACATGGTTCAGTTGCCTAACAAAGTACGCTGCATAGCGACTAACTGGATCGAATCACCAGGTGAGTGCATCGGAAATTCTATCTTTCGACTTATTATTCTGTCTGTCATTTTTATATGTGTACACCAGGCACATAACAGGCATGGTGACAGCACCGGCCAACACAAGCTTGGAATGCCCATCTAATCGGCATCGCAATAAATTAGAAGCAAAAAACAAACAAGCACACTCAAGCACAGGAGTGTCATAGTCGTTCAGTGAATCCCACTGACCGCAAAAACTTCAGCAGTGCCTTCGTCCTTTCGCGTTGAAAGCTCGAGCATTTCGGCACCCCGAAATCGGTTGTTCGGTAAGCGGCTTGTCATCGAGGCGTGCTACGGCAACTGAGAGGTATTGTATGTGGCAACTGTAGTGCGGGAAATGACAATACGTGCGCAATATTTTCCTCGCTGCCACTGGGACCATAGACAGCAGTGTCAGCCATTCTGTTGCGGTACGCACAGCCGATCGTGAATGTCACTGCAAGCCACGGGTGGCACCGGACTGTTAATTGGGATCCAATGATCTAGCCACATTGCAAAGATTGCAAAAATTCTATCAAACAAGCTAGGTTTTGTTAGCAGAGCTTTCTTTCTCGGCCATTAAAATGAAAAAGAAAAAAAAACGTCGGATGTAGCGTTACGTCAAAATAAATTTATGTGCCAGCGATATCTGCCCCCCCCCCAAGACCTGCCTAATTAACTTCCTAGGATATGTTCGAAATCATGCTGCCCTCTTCATACATTTAATAAGACAATTTATCAAGGTT